TCTACGTCATCGCTATTAGGTTTTGCATACTGATCAGAGGTTTGTTTTTTCAAGAGAGGGTTTCCTCGCTAAAAATACACAGAAATGAAATGTTTATATGATGGACACAGCGAGGTACGCTATCGTGACATAGGCAACTACGTGCCTTAATTGAATAGAACTTCGTCAAAACCTTCCAGTATGCAATAAAGCGGGTGTATGATTTTGCCTGTAAAACAGGCTTGGCATATTTTTTGTATTTTTCGATCTTGTGGTATAATTTTTTATTTGTTGATTCTCTTGGTTTATTTGTCATATAATCCCCAAATCTGAACCATCGTACCTTTTACGGGCTACATTGGCCAGCATGTGATGCCATGCAACACGCAGTAAGCCAAGCAGCAACGAATGGATACAAACGTGTTAGGCGGTCGCTTACAGTCGCAAACATGCTACGCGACTATATTGCATCCTTGAAATGTAGATACACATAACAAATTAGTAAGCTGTTATTGGTGCTAGCTTATCGTATCTTCGTCTACCAAGCCCATATTTGATCATTGTAAAAGGGGTATCTTTAGTATGCAGTTCGGCAAGACCCTCAGCTAACTAAGCATCATAGCTATACGATAATGCAGCTCGAATGTTGAACGTGTAATCATATACGCTTGTAGGCAATGATCAATCAGCCCATCCTCAACCATTCGACCACCGTGGACACTATCATGCAGATAACGATGCATGCAGTTCCGTGAAAGTGCCAAGGAGACGACAAAGAGCAACACGAGGTACATTATGTCAAAAACCACAGCACGGATGACAAGCGCCTTTGTTCGTCTAACTGCTTGCAATATGGTTACAAATATGTCCGATGAGACTGAGCAGGTATCCGTTCTCGCATACTTGCACTTGTTCACGGAATAGATCGCCCATAGAGTGCACAATAGGTACTAGAGTAGATTTTCTTGTTGCCCGTCAACGGGGTGATCGATCGACGGCTTGCTGTCCATACTGACCGCTAATCTCCATTTTGCCACAGCTTTGCATGCACGAAGGGAATGAACGTCATCATAGTTCATTGCAGGCTGGCGTCTGCAGGTATCGTTGTCTGCAGAGGCTTGCAACGCAATAGACCATACCGAGAACACAGCAGCTCTATGCGGAGGCGGGGAAGAGAATCGGTCCATACCAAGCGCAAGTCAAGTTTGTCCACCAGTCGAATGGCGCTTGATCTCTGATGCGAGCCGGCGATACGTGCCGCGATCACTTACCAATCTGTCACCGATAGAAACGGTACCCCTTCAGCCTGAAGATGAAAGCCGCGTCGGATACAGTGGCTGACATGACACGCCACTTCTGCTGTGTGGTGACCGGCACGAGATGCGTTGTATTTGAATCCTTCAACAGATAGTTGCAGTAAGTGAATCACATGGAATCATCATCTACTCGAACGCGTCAGCTGGCTTCCACAGTCACTCCGGTAGTGCAAGAAACTGATCGTTTTGCAGACCGCGAAAGTCAAAGGCATGTCCACGGGTTCGCCAGCAAAGTATGCATCCTTCGTGTTTTCTTCCTGCATGTAAGTTGTCAAAGACGTTACGACAAACTTGACATAGGATATTGAGCAAAGCATCAGTTTCGCGTCTCGATCGCCATTGCCTTTGCATGCATCAAACATTTCTTAACAGAACTGGCCCGGTCGCATAGTCTTTCTTCATACCATGGGCCCAGCATCTAGAGGACCACGCGATGACAGCGTTCCAATCTCATCTGTGCAAAACGACGCCGGCTAATCCAGCCTTCCAACACCCCACTCGACGTCGAAGACACCCGTGTCTTTCCAGCAAGCATGTGCGTAGCATCAGCACATCGTAGGAGCAAGACCTGAAACAGACGTCGTGAAAAGTGGCAGTGCAACGCGGGCTGAATCAAATGTGCTGTATTTAGCGATATGCTTGTACACTTGCTAGCATAACAAGTGTGGTCCGAGCCACGATTGCTACGACAAACAAGCATTTCCTGAACAACACTCAATGGAGGCCGTGTGCATCTCTCCTGTTCGACCACTACAGCTTAGCCAGTGTAGAGTGTTGGAGATCGTGAATCGGTACGGTGTAACTGGTGCGAGACGGTTCGTGAGACATCACCTTCGTTCCTTGTGCACGCTGGTGCAAAAACGATTTCTTGAGGCTAAGTGCACAATGTCGTCAAAGTAAAATTGCTGCACACATCAGTCAGTGTGAGCTTGTAACGGGCATACTGGCACTGGCTTACATATCGCACGGCACAACTGCGCGTGAGAAACGGGGTGCTAGCACAACTAGGACCATGTAAGGCGACTACTTGCAGCCAAGGCAGTATGTGGTTTATGGTTTACACTCGCATGTACACCACAGTATTTAAAACATCAATCTACATTGCGACCGTCGTGTTCTCACGCGGTTGTTTTGCTATCGTATTGACTCGACGCAGCCCGTTAGTGTAGGCGTAACACGTGACGAAAGCGACGGCCGAGCCCAAGATGCGATCTGACGACGGGTCAATAAACGCATCATTCTCGAAGTAAGAATGGAACTGGTGAGTGTACAACGATAGCCAGACAGCATCTTCTGCGTGTTTGCGTCGAGGATCGTTTCGCTGCAGGCTCTTGCAGTGCGTTTCTGTCGTGAAACTACGACACCGGCTCACTCCTACAGAATGCAGTGCCTTGTGTTTGCAGCACAACTGTCACTCGCGACACACACCAATGCTTCTGGACAAACGCAACGCAGCATAGTATGATCGCTGGAAACCCGTGGTATCGCTGCCAGGAGACTTGCAGTCGGCGCTATCAGCAGCCGTTGAGCACAGAAAGACTGCTATACTTGCCGTTATGCGGAGACACCTTCGTTCAAAATTCGCAGGCTACCCGTAGACGACATTGTATTGGCTCCCAATCCAGTTGATGCGGCCACAGCGTCAACGTGTGGTCTCATGCACTGCATCCACAATGCAGTAGCGTCGACCTCGTGCGTTTCGTGCACTGCACTTCGCTCCGGCAAAGAGTTTTGCAATGGCTTGGAAACGAACGAATGCACTGAGAGACATAACGACGCTCGAGCTTGTGCCCCGACTTCCATTATACGCTCATAGCTTGATGCCCAATTGACCTCCTCATGTCACTGTTGTCAGAAGCATTCATGCGGCTTACCGCGCAAAAACACAAGCCGCTTCTCCTGCTGTCTTCCAGAATCGTGCGTTCCGAGATTTACTGCTGACATTTTACAATATTCCCACAGCCAGACGTTCTGCCGTAAACAGCTTACGCGACGACACCTGAAGTAGACCAGACGAGACCATACTAGTCGCAACAACCCGTCGCATCGACGTGGTTGGAACCTTTCCCAAGTTCATGTTGTCTCTCTTGATTCCCAAATTTTCACGGTTCAGCTCAAGCCAGTCTTTTTCCCTTCGGGGCAGTCACGTCGGAGGGAATCCTCCCCTTGGGGAGCCGACGTGGTCGAAGATCTGACGCGGGCACGCTGCACTCGCAGTCGCGGGTGTGGGCGTAGGAGACCGACGGGTCGCGCAAGCGGCCCTAGCAGGGGTGTTTTACGGACTGGAGGCGTACCCCGCGCCACGTGTCGCCGCTGCGGCGAGCGCACACTCCACGTCAAGGGGCCGCGCAAGCGGCTGAAGGGGGCCACCATCGCAGATGGTTGAGCTCCTCGGAGAGATATACGGCGGGTTGGCGTTCTCCACGCCACGCAGTCACTTCGGTGATCGCACTCCACGTCGGGGGCCGCGCAAGCGGCTGAAGGGGGCCACCATCGCAGATGGTTGAGCTCCTCGGAGAGATAGACGGCGGGTTGGCGTTCTCCACGCCACGCAGTCACTTCGGTGATCGCACTCCACGTCGGGGGCCGCGCAAGCGGCTGAAGGGAGCCACCATCGCAGATGGTTGAGCTCCTCGGAGAGATATATGGCGGGTTGGCGTTCTCCACGCCACGCAGTCACTTCGGTGATCGCACTCCACGTCGGGGGCCGCGCAAGCGGCTGAAGGGAGCCACCATCGCAGATGGTTGAGCTCCTCGGAGAGATATATGGCGGGGTGGCGTTCTCCACGCCACGCAGTCACTTCGGTGATCGCACTCCACGTCGGGGGCCGCGCAAGCGGCTGAAGGGAGCCACCATCGCAGATGGTTGAGCTCCTCGGAGAGATATATGGCGGGGTGGCGTTCTCCACGCCACGCAGTCACTTCGGTGTTCGCACTCCACGTCGGGGGCCGCGCAAGCGGTCCTAAAGGGGTTTGTTGCCTTATATGGCAGCATACCCGCGTTGTACGTGCTGCCGCTCCGGCGGTACGCATGTCCCCAGTCTACTTGGTCGCGCCAGCGGTCATGATTGACTCGTAGTTGGCTTCGGTAGGAGGGTCTCTGACCTCGTTGCCGTCGCCCCTGGCTCTACGGAGCCCTTTAGTTGTCGACCCGATACCCGGGCCGTACTTCTTGTCACACTTATCAGTCGTTAGTTATCATAATAATGGACGTACTTGACACCACCACCATGTTGTCTCTCTGTTTCCCGCTCTGCCAAGCACTCTGCTGTTGATTTTCGCACGTGCGGTCCACGCGCAAATGGCTGTTCTACGCCTGGCACTTGAGACGTCTGGTCTGCGACAAACCTTTCTGCGCCACCACTCGGTGCGTCAGCTCGTACGTATTCGAGTACGCACGCCACACCACATCGCTTCGTCCGTGGGCGGCTCCGATCCAGCCGACACAGTGTGCGAAAAGCCAACGAATAGCCCGTGCGTCGTTTGTAATCAGCAGCGCCAACCGCTTTTTTCGATCGAGTCTTTCGCTCGAAACAACGACTATGGGTCCTGTTAAGGTGTGTGCGTGTGGCAGTGTTGTGTGTTTCCACTACGGTATCTGTCCATCTATCCATCTATCGATCTATGACTTCTTCCGGTCACACTGACGTGAACGCGTGTCGGTTGTGGTGTTTTGTGTAGACGTGTGTCGTTCTGACCTCTTCCATGGTGTCCATTACCGAGCAAAAGTACGAAATCGGCCACCTCAAGCAGCTGCTCGATGGCAATAAGATTGCGTACACGGAAGTGGACTGCAGTCTCGAGGAGAACCGCGAGACGCGGAACCGCTACTTCCAGGCCAGTGGCATTCGTGCCAACTACCCACAGGTGTTTCTGCAGGACCCGGACGGCAAGAACATGCAGTACATTGGCTCGTTCAAGGAAATTCAAGTGGGTCGCGCGCTGTTCTTACTGGTCGCACAGCACGTGCTGGTCGACAGGGAAACTAACTGCTGCTACGTGTGTGTGTGTCTCTCTCTCTCTGTTTGTTTGTGTGCGTCTCTCGATCTGTTTTTGCGCGTGTGTGTCTCTCTTTCTCACTTTTGGTAGGAGCTAAACGAGATGAACGATGTGCCGCCTGAGATCCTCAAGGCGAACAACATTAAGACGCTCAAGAGCGTCTTTGCTGGTACGTTTGCCCATGGCATCGTCGGCCCTGCAGTCGATGGTGTGTTGCTCACACTCGTTGTTCTGTTCTGTTGTGTGTGTGTGGAACTAGACGTGTTGAAACGGGCTTGAAACAAGCACTTGACTGCAGTATGTGAGGCGGGCAATGGCAGAAGTAGCAGCAGCGGCTTTGGCGTGAGTGCTGTATCTCTTTGCTGCAAACTCAGCGACAAATGGCACCCCGAGTTTGCGTTTGTCCAGAGCCACGTACGTACCGGATCGGACAAGCTATTGTTCAAGAAATGCAATGCGCTGCCGCCTTCGCGCGAATAGATTAAGCCAATTTTAGCCTCCTTTTTCGTGTCATTGAAAGCATCGAGCCGTGCTGTGTTGTAGTCACGTAGAGTGGAAGTTGTAATGACCGGCGATAGTAACGAGCGACGCTGCGACGTGGTCATTCGTGAGGATAATACCGTGGCCGAAGCCATGATGTGCCTTTTCTCTTTCTGACTGAACAAGTGACCGATTGTGGTCAACTGCTGCACGAAAGACAATTCGTCTGATCCATACGTTCGTTATGATACACGATCCTCTACTGCTACTCAAAACAACGAGCGCCCGATACTCCTTCGACCACGAGCTGCCTACCTCCTGGTACCTTTGCCCGTCGGTATGTCTGATAATCGGCCAAGCTCGTCTCGTCCTCATGCGGTCTTCATCAGACTCCGCAGCACGTCTGCAGCCTTCTTGGGGTCGTCCCCAAACTGCTCCATAGCTTTGTCGCTAATGCGGGACAAATCCAGCTGACGAATTTCCTCCACGATCCTGCCATTCTCGAACGTAATGTGCGACGTCATCTGGAACGGCAGCAGCTCGCCAGTGGCGCCAAAGTAGGGCGCAAGCTCTGCAAAAGGTGCCGTCAGGGGCACATCCGGGGCTGCATCTTGCTTCACGATCACTTCAATGTCCCAATTGACAAGGCACTTGTTCGTCGAGTTAGGCTTCCACTGCACCATGTATTGCTTGATCTCGTACTTGGCAAACACACTGGCACTCGACTGCTTGCAGGCAATGATACCTGCCAAGCCAGCCACGCTCGCTCCACTGCTGCCGTACAGAATCTCGGCATTGTTCGTCCAAACACCACGCGCACTCATGTCAAAAGCAGCGCCTCCCGCAGCGTCATTGTACGCACGGATGTAGGCCAGTAACGTCGTGGTCTGGCTCTTGCGCAGCTCGTCGAGCTGGACGTCCGTCAGCGGCGCGTCGTCCTTCCCTCCAGCCTCTTTGCGTGCCACTTTGGCTTTCAAGAGCCCGTTTTCCTTCTCCAGCTCGGCCGTGCGGTCTTCGAGAAAGTTGAGACGGTCCTGTTTGCGCTTTCGGCACTTGCGCACGCGCTCGCGGTTCTTCATGCGGCGCCGTTCGTCGAGGTCCTCCTGGTCGGACGCGTGGTCCGAGCACGGGGTCTCGCTCAGTCGAGCGTCCGCCGGCGGCGGCGGCTGCTGCTGCTGCTGCAGCGTCGGGCGGTGCATGTACTCGTACATGTTCATGTTCATTGCTGCTATGCTCGGGTGCGCCAGTTGGCCAGCGTGATGGCTCAGCTGCTGCGACTGGTGATGCAGCTGCTGCATCTGGTGGAGATGCGACTGCGACAGCGGTCCGCCCTGAAGGTGAGCATGATGAGCATGCTGTTGCTGCTGCTGTTGTTGCTGCTGCTGCTGCTGTTGCTCGTGCTTGTACTGGTCCGCCATGGCCATCTTGGGGGAACTGGCGCTGGAGAAGGCTCCAGGGAAGCGCATGGGCACTTTGGACAGCCCCGACACGTCCTTGGGCGTGAACCCCGAGGGTGAGATCTTGTTGTGCGTGTGCGTGGTCGCGTCCGAAGCCCCGCGGGGCGAGTAGCCACTGGCGCCGCTGCCTGGTCGACTCAGGTAGTTCGACGCCGCGGCGGCGACCGCTGTCTCGGTCGAGGGGGCAGTGCTCGAGGCTTGACTGAGGTCCGTGATGTTGATCCGCGGCGTAAAGCCCGTGGTGAAGCGCGGCGTAAAGCCCGAGCGAGGGGTGAGCCCCGTGCTAAAGACCCGCGGCGTCAGACCCGTCTTGAACGTTCCGCCGCCCACGGGGCCGCAAAAGTCCCGCAGGTCCTCCATACCGAACGTCCGCGGGCTGAGACTCATGGGCTTGGCGAGACCGCTGAGGTGCTGTTGCTGCTGCTGCTGCTGCTGTTGTTGCTGGTGATGCTGTTGCTGTTGCTGTTGCTGGTGGTGGTGATGGTGCTGCGCAGCGTCAGCGTGGAGGTGGTACCCCGAGGCGGGGTGCATGCCCATGCCGTGGCTGCTGGCCACGTTGGGCAGGCCGAGCTCCTCGCGCGCCGAGTGGAGACCCATTGACATGTTGCTATGGGCGTCTGTTTGGTTGTGTGTGTGTGTGTTTGGCGATTTGGTTGTGTGGCGCGTGTATGGATGTGGTTTGTCGGTGGTTTGTTGTTGTTGTTGTTGTTGTTGTTGTTGTTGTGGTTGTTGTGGTTGTGGTTGTTGGTGTTGTGTGGTTGTTGGTCGGGTGTTGTGGGCGCGCGAGTCGATCGTGGGGTCGTGTCCGGGCGGAGGCAGCACGTTCCACGTTGCTGGCAAAAGAGATTATGTAATGATGGGCGGCGGCGCGCGGGCGTGGCGGCGTTTGGGTTCTTGCGGGTGTTTTTTTGGTGTTTTTCGTGGCCGTCCGTCGTTGTGACGTTGTGGTGCAAAGGGGAGGGCGGCGTTGGGTGTGTGCGTGTAAAAGACGCGCGCGAGGGCGAGGGGAGAAGCGGTTTGATTCGTTTAGGCGGTTGTTTGCTTGTGCACGCGTTTATATGGCCGTTTGTTTGTTTGTTTGTTTGTTTGTTTGCCGGTTGATCGGTGAGTTGCTTTGTTGTTCGCTGTTTGCTGTTTGTTTGATTGGGGAAGAAGGAGAAAGAGAGAAAGCGGAAGAAAAAAAAAAAGAGAGAGAGAGTTTCAGTCCAGTGTGCAGCTGTTTCTGAGCATCAGGGAAAGAGCCGGCGTGACTCGTGGCTCTGGCCCTCTGTGCGAGCCCGAGCGAGACAAAGACAGGCCGACGTGGATCGTCCCTTGCCGTTGACGCAATCGGTTCCGAGCAACGGCAACCGGAGCGTTCGACAGACCGAGTCGCAGCAAAGAGCTGCACGTTCTGTCAGCGAGTCGCCGTAGCGCACCCGCACAGTGCACAACGCCAATGTGCGGTCTCAAGTCTTACGGCGCAAGTCAGCACGCCACCTATTGCCTCGCGACTATCGCCGGCGATTGTCCACCAGACGCGCCTGTGCAGAGACTCTCTGGGGATGGTGCCAGTTGTTGCACCCTTCTTGGGCGCCAAGGGAGGGGGGGGCGACAGTAGTGGGCCACTCGTGACTGCCGCCTGGTTGTAGTGCTGTCGCGTCGGCGGCTGGCGAGCGGTTAAAAAGTAGTGCACGTTGTGGCCGCGACGCTTTGAAGCGGCGTTTGGACGATCGGGGGAGGATGATTGCCAGCTTTGCTGCTCGAGCCACCGTCTGCGAGCGCGAGCCAGGCAGACAGTCGAAAATCCACACAGACGGCCTGGCGTCAACACCGTTCTGTTGACGACCACGGGCTCGTGCAGCTGCTCGGAGGAGCTGCGTGCGCTGTCGTCGTCGTCGTCGTCTCTTGGCGCGCGGTCTACTGCTCCCAATCGTCACGAGGACAAAAGACGCACCGGACGTCCTCGTGGCTTTGCTCGGCTGAATCGATTCGTGTGGACCGCGGCAAGACCGGTAGTGTTGCCCGCCGTGTTGCGATGATGAGCGCGTGCATAGGTCACGGCGATATGGTCCGGTCTTGGACGGCGTGAGTAATAGCAGCACCGAGACGTTGCTAGCGGTTTTCACCGTCAGAAGAAGCTGCTGCATGTAACTGCTTGTGACCACGACCGCGCTAATGACGCAGCCATGTTTGCAACACGTGAGTACCTCGCGCGGTGTAGTTGATTAATTTCTTTGGTGCTGAGGTAGGCGGACCACGACTTGATCTACTGGACAAGTTGCTGATCCATTACTCGCAGAGTAGCTCACAATGACACACCACGTAAGTAACGTTCCGTCAGCGCAGGGCTGCTATACGATGATGATGAAGCAGGAGGACACTGACAAAGGCTCTGTGCCCGCCGTAGCTCCATGTCGAACCGCGCGGACACACGTTTTTGCAGGGGCTGATGTGCTGACAAAATGCCACGCCTGGTTGAACGAGAGCCCGTTTGTGAGGTCGCCGAAGACTGATCGCGCGTCGCATGAATCAGTCGCGTTCGCGGGGCTTTCTTTGCGGCCAAAGACTGCTGCAATTTGTGTCCAGCAAAGCTGTGTTCTGTTGCCAGCGAGACCTCATTTCACTCCCCTTGTCTTCGAACTTGCTCATGCGCCACGCAGACAAGCGCGCAAGCGTGACAAGTTGCAGGCACCAGTTCCGCTTTGTGTCGTCTGCACCGTAACACGCCGATCGCGTATCCCATAGCAGCCACAGCTCACTGTCGTGAGGGTCTTACACTACTACAGCACGAAACGGCGCAACACTGCACCTTCCTACAAGTGCGACGGTGGTACGCCCTGTGCTGCGACTACAGCGTGTAGCATCTGCTGCAGCTGGCAAGCAACAAGCTGCGTGGTACAAAGCGCGTCCTTCCACATCGATGATGGCTAGTCTGCAGTGCGACACGCACGAACCCTCATGCCTCTGGATGCCGGGGGGCTTGAAGCGCACTGCAACGTGCGGGCAACGGGCGTAGAGGCGTGGATGGAGCGATGGATGGGTGGTGGTGGTGGTGGACTTGTCCTGCGTGAAGGTGAGTGGACCAACCAGTTGCATAGCTTCAGGATCTGCAAACTGCCGTCGAGCGATAGGCCTTTGGCGTTGCATTGTAAGCAGTGCGGAGGAGACCTTCTCGCAGCCCGTTGGTGCGGGAGTTAACGCCGCGGTGGGACCAAATGTCGGGGCACACATGCGATCATTGCGCGTGACATCGATGAGCACGATGTTCCGTTCGACAAGTAACGGATGCAGTTGATCGAGCCTGACTTTCGCGGGCCATTGCTGTGCTGCCTCCGGTCATGGAACTGTTCCATTGTGTTTGCTGGCAACCCCACACACTGTGTTACAGCGAAAACGCGCTCTTTGACGAACACGCAGCCATCGCAACAGGTGCAGCACTCGCGACGAACGATCACGAGGTGCAGAACGTCACAGGCCACGACTGGTAGTTGTCAAGCAGTGCACTTGGAGCAGCGAACACGAGTTGGAAGCGGCCAAGCGAAAGTCGGTGAGCGTCCTACATGTACTAGCTCACTGGCGGGGAACGACGATCTGCGGCGTACGGACTACTTGCGGCGACCGTCGTCGTCGTAGCCTACAGCTGCCCTCGCGCCACTTCTGGATAGACGCACAGCCGTCTATCGAATTTTTCGCTCGGCGAAAGCCGCAGCTTTGTCACGCCACAGACGCGACTGCCGGCCCAGCTGTGGGACCTACGCACGCCACTGATATAGGCGGGGGCAAGCACGACCCGTGTGTTCGCCACATCGGACGTGCAATAGACTGGACGAGCGAGGCCCTTGTGCGCGTGGCGACGCAGAAAAGGGCGGACGAAGCGATGGCTGACGACATGGGCGACGTTTGCTGACCGCCAGTCGCAGCACAGTCCTATGCCACGACGACAGCGCCGTCAGAACAGCAGTTTCGTGCCATGCGAGTTCGAGCTTGGACTCGCTCGCTGAAAAAAACGAGCTCGACGCGACTGTTTTGCCCACACGAGTGTGTCCAACGCGATCGTGGAATAGTTATGGTCTGACGACGTTGGACGTAAGCAGTAGCGTGACGGTGTGTAGTACGACAAAGTAAAGATGTGGGAAAGTGTAGGGCAAGGATGTGTCTGCGTTGGCTGGAGCGGGTCACACGGCTACATTATGATGCCTGTAGTAATTGCATGCTGGAGACAGAACTTATCTGACACCCAACTTATTGTATCGATCGTCAGCGGAATGATACAGAACAGTGCGATGTTCCTTGCGTCTGTAACGTTGTGAGAAGTTACATGGTAAGGTTTGCCAGTTCCGTCCCGAGTCATTGGTGCTGACAAGCGATAAACAAGACGCTATGAGGAGCGGAACGAGAAGGGCGTACAGCCAAGCGAAATGCTAGCTACCGTGGTCTTCTTCTCGGGCTTTTCGGGTATTCCGTGAAGACAGTGGGCGAGAAGGACGAGCAGATGATTGCGACGGACCGCATCGTCGAAATGCCCTCATTCTGCTGAGACCAAGTGGACTCTGTGCTGAGCAACACTGGACGGGTGATATTGTGCCTTCGGCAACACCGAGACCAAGCGCATGGGCAGCAAAGGAGTCAGCTCACGGATATGTGGTGCCGGCGTCACGAACTGTGATGAAGCTACATGACGCCAGCTACTTCTAGCCAGTGAAGGACCTCTCTTCATCACGACAGCAGTGTGATACCTACCGTGACTTGCTCGATTGTTGTCAGAGCCACCGCTGCTATGACTGATCATCAGTAACTATTGATTTGCGGACAAATGGCCACTATCGACGGTCGATCGAGTTTTTTCCATTCACGCGAGTGGAATGACGGCGTAGCGATGGCGGCTGCCAGAGATGACGATCAACGCATTTCGCACAAGACTCAACAACCTGCAAGGAGTGAGCTCATCGAGACAGTCGCATTGCGAACGTGGTCGAACACAACGACACACGGTCACCAACCCCGAAATCGCTACTCGTGACTCCAACACACACGAACGGTCGTTTATCATCGACGTTGTCGCTTCTCGATCGTTCATTGCCAGAAGCGATGATTGCTCTTGGTCAAGACAACCTGACCTAGTAAGTATCAGGTACCAACTAGTTACGGCCATCTCAAGCGCGTGCGGCAGGATCAGCCGTATCACATGACTGAACATCGGATCGTCTTCCGATCACGAATCCAACCCCAGGGGTACTCAAATGCACAACCTCCCGGTTCGATAGAGAGTGGTTAGATTCCAATACTTCTGGGTGGGCTATGAAGGTGCACAAGTCCATGCCCACTCGATGAGCGAGTCGCGAAGAGACAAGAAGGTACGAGTACTACGAAGCAAGATTGTCATCGCACAAGTTGGTGCGACCTCGTCAAATCCGGCGACGACAAAAGCGTTCATCCATCCCCGGTGCCAGCTTACACAGCGATGCGGTTCACACGCTCGGTCTTCTTTGCATTTTCAAGGATGCGGATTTGCTCAATCACTTCGTCTTTCGGGTTCACCAAGAGCTCTTCGTCTCCTCGGATAGCTGCTGCAATGTTCGTGTAATAGACCTCGTAGCAGCCGCGCTCACTGGGAATGACACGCGTTGCACCTGTAATTGCATCCGTGAACGTACCGAACGAGCTCTCGGGGTCCTGGCCCCAGCCTGCATCCCCTGGACGCTTGCCCGCACGCAGAGCGTCCTCTTGTCCGTCTTCTCCATACTTGACGAACGTCCCCTTCGTGCCGACCACAGTGTACCGTGGACCGGGGACCTCGACCAGCATCCCAGCGCTCAGCACCACCTTTCGCTCGGGGAACTCGTCGTACGTGAACTCGAGACGAAAGTAGTCGTCGGTCTCAGCGCCCTCACGCTGGATCTGGACATCGGCCTGGACCGAGTCAGGCTGGCCGAAGAGCAGCAGCGCCTGGTCCGTCAGGTGGGACCCGAGATCGTAGAGCACCCCACCACAGAGTCCCGCCTTTTCCTTCCAGTAGCCCTTCATCGTCGGACGGAAGCGGTCGTAATGGACCACAAACTGCTGCACGTGACCGAGTCGGTCGTGCGCGAGCAGCGCTTTCACGGTCAGAAAGTCGCTGTCAAAGCGGCGGTTGTGGAAGACCGAGAAGAGCACGTTGTTCGCCTCGGCGATCGCGCAGAGCTCCTGCGCTTGTGCAGCTGTCACACACAGCGGTTTTTCCACGACGACGTGGCGTTTTGCTTCCAGTGCCTGTTTGGCCTGTGCAAAGTGCACCGTCGTCGGTGTCGAGATGACCACGAGCTGCACAGTGGTCGCCAGCAGCTCGTCCATCGAGCGCACGATCCGAGGCGCGGGCGAAAGCTTTTGGCTGTTGCTCGAGGAGCGCTCGAGCACGTGCGTGAGCTCCACGTCGCGCGAGCTCAGGAGCAAAGGCGCGTGAAAGACGCTCGCGCCTGTGCCAAAGCCGACGAGCCCAACGCGGATCTTTGCAGGAGGCATTGCGATTGGCGTGAAGTACAGATTGCGTCTAGTAGAGTGAGCTGCTCGTGCGTCGCGTGGATACGGTTTGTTCAGGAGCTGGTACGAAGACGGCGAGACGAAGTCGAGAGGTAAACGATAATCGTTTTTTCGCTAGTGCGTTGTCACGTGTGACTGCCGACTGACTACGCGTAACCGAATGCGTGTGTTCTATCTGCACGTCCCGCGAAGACGCGTTACAAGCACACAGACACACACGACACCGTTGCACGGATAATGCAACATAAGCACGCACGACGCTTGCGTTGTCCGTAGTGCTTGTAAACAAACACCCGCAAAAGTAACGCGTTCACTAGCAGTCACTTTTGGCGTCGTGTCCACCACATCATTGTCGATTTCGAGCCGCTCTTTTCTTCCACTTGTTTTTGTTACGACGTACTATTTGTTTGTATTTTGTGTCGAAAAGCGTCTCTCACTGCCCCTTTCGTGCCGTTGGACCGCACTTTGTCTACTCGAGTCGCTTGGCCTGTCGCACTGCCGCCTGCGTCCGTGCATGGGCCGGAAGAAGACCAAGAAAAGAGGTACGTCCTTCAGCTGCAAGCTAATTGTGCAATGTCCTAATCTCTCTCTCTCTCTCTCTCTCTCTCTCTCTCTCTCTCTCTCTCTCTCTCTCTCTCTCTCTCTCTCTCTCTCTCTCTCTCTGATTGCGCATTGTCGAACACTGTCATTCACTGTACGCCCCGTGTGTTTCTAGACGCCCACGCTACTGCATCAGTGACATGCGACACTTCTCCTGCCACGTACGATGCAGTGACGCTCGACAAAGCGCGACAGCTGCAGACCCAAGAGCTCGAGGTCCTGCAGTCTATTTACGACAGTGACTTGACTATGCAGAGCTCGACGCCGTTGTATACGTACATTTTCACCATCCGACTGCGATGCGAAGCCAGGCCTGGATCGGCTACGACAGCCGAAGTGCTGCTCCATTTTGACTTTACACGGATGTATCCTATCAAGCAGCCGCCAAATATCGTGGTGGAAGCCAAGCACGGGCTTTCGGACAATGAGACGCAGAAATTGACGGACCAAATGGAGACACTTGCACTGGAAAAAGTTGGCGACGCGGTCGTGTACGACCTCGTGGTGTTTGCAGCGGACTTTATCATGGACCGTCTCACGGACCAATCGTCGTTCTTTGACCAGATGGTCACAAGACAGCAGGATCAAGATGCACAAAAGAAGTTGGCAGACGATGCACTGGTGCAAGAACAAGAGAAACACGTGCGAGCAAAGAATGAGGCGATATTGGCGCTTCTGGACGCGGAGCGGAAGAAACGGAAGACGTTGGCGAAAAAGACGCGACGAGGACGAAGGAGACACCAATTTGAGGATTGGGGCGGACAGGCAAGTGGTAGTGATAGTGGTCAAAGTCAAGACGATGTGGCAAGTCCGTCGAGCGTCTACGAACAGCAGTCAGAGACGAGTTCTAAGTGGGGTTCTAGTGTGTCGGACTCGGATGCGTCGGACTTGGATGCGATTGTGGCAGCAAAACGGTATCATTCCAGATACCTGGGTGATTTCAAGGAGCTGGGGCTGCTGGGGCGTGGAGGAGGTGGCGAAGTGGTGAAGGTTCGCAATCGGCTGGACCGACAGCTGTACGCGGTCAAGAAGGTCAAAGTAGACCCGAACGACAAGACGATGAAGAAGAAGATTTTGCGTGAAGTGAAGACGATTTCACGAATGCAGCACCGGCACATTGTGCGGTATTTTCAAGCATGGATCGAAGGTGAAAATGGAATGTCTTCTGACGACGAAGAACGGTCCAGTCTGGAGGGCAGCGACTTCAGTGCCGAAGACGATTCATTGAGCAGTTTTGCTGCTAGTGAAAAGGATTCTCTGGATGGTGAAGTGAGTTTTTCGTCGGATGTCGACGACAGGCTGGGACCAGCGGCGTCGATCAATGAAGACGAAGATGACTGGCTGGGCGATGTGGGCAGTAGTATAGGGCTACGGGCGACTTCAACGTCTTGCCCTAACTCCCGAAGCCTGCGTAGTAGGAGTCGCGTGTTTCAGCTTTCTTCGCAGCACTCGGCAATGGAAGGCTACCTTGATGGCAATGCTGAATGGGAAGCGCTGGAAGAAGCTCCGATGGACGAGGTTGATTGTATGAGTGATGAAGATGGTGGGCATGACCGAGAGACACCGCGTCAAAAAGATAACGTACCCAAGAGGAAGAGAAAGTTCGAAAAATTGTTTATACAGATGGAATTCTGCGAGGGAAATGCTCTTAGGGAAGTGATTGACAAAGGAGCTCTGTGGAAAGATCCTGACAAAATTTGGACGATGTTTCGACAAATCCTGGAGGCGCTTGTCTACATTCATAGTCAGGGGATTATTCACCGTGATATCAAGCCGCCGAATGTTTTTCTGGACTCAGAAGGGACTATAAAGCTAGGGGATTTTGGTCTCGCCGTGCGGCCTCCCAAGACCACCGAAGACGACGGCAGTAACGGTGACTCCTCGCCACCTGGAGAGACTGCTACTGGCGCAATATTGTCTGCGTCAGCTGGTTCATCTGCTGCCGAGCTGTATGGGCGTCTCAAGCTGGAAACCCTGGAAGACACAAGATTTGAGGGCCAACCGAGTGCACAACAACACAGTAACCTGATGACGACCATGTCGGCGAACGTAATGGACGGCAGTATTACTGCTGGTGTTGGCACTGCATTCTATCGGGCGCCTGAGCAAGAGAGAGAAGGACAGCGATATAATCAGAAAGCAGACCTCTTCTCGCTTGGGATTATGTTCTTCGAAATGTGGTCACCGCCATTCACGACCCTGATGGAGCGCGCACAGGCACTCGTTGGGCTGAGAGAAAAGCACGAACTACCCGACTCTTTCGGCGCATCTGATGACGTGAAAAAGATCATCTTATGGCTTTGCGAGCACGACCCATCCAGGCGGCCGAATGCAAAGGAGCTCATGGTGAGTCCATTGTTGCCTGCAAAGATCGAGATCGAGGGATCGTATCTGCGAGAGGCATTGAAAACGCTCGCGAATCCACAAGGCAAATGCTTTCGCCAGCTGATTGACGCTCTGGTGTCACAGGCACCTCTTAATCACGTTGACTATACGTACGACCACTTGGAGTCCGTGAAAATGCGCAGCTACGAGATCCAGCTACGCACAAAAACATACGTCAGGAGCGTGTTACAGGTTCGTAGCCATTTGGATGTTGTTGCGATGGATTTGGTGCTGTAAGTCTAAACAAGGTGTATTGCATGCTTGAGCAGAAAGTTTTCCAGTGCCACGGAGCTGTCGAAATGTCAACGCCGTTACTGATGCCACGGTCATCAGAGCAGAGTTTTGGTAGCATGACTCTGAATACCGCACATAACGCCCCCACGATGCTAGACGGCAATGGCGTGTCCGTATCACTTCCGTTTGATTTGACAGAGAGGCTGGCTCGCTTTGTAGCACGGCACAACGTCTCACGTTTGAAATGCTTTCAGTTCGACCGAGTTTATCGCAAGAGCATAGGAGGCGGCCACCCGCGTGAGTTCACCGAGTCTGATTTCGACATTGTGTGGGACGATGGAGGTGCCGTTGGCTTCTTGGAGCTGGAGGGAATCGAAGTAGTATCGAGCGTGATCAAGGCACTACCGAGCTGCCTTGGCTCGTACTACTTGCGGTTCAATGACGCTCGAATTACGCGCGGTATTCTTGAGCTTTGTCGTGTTCCCAGCAGCGCTCGTCGCGAAGTGCTGCGGCTGCTTTCTCACGAAGTGTCTTTTTCCGTACATGCTGGTCCGTCTTCCACTCAAGCTCCGGGCCTGAAGCCGGGCCGTTGGAAATTTACTGTAAAGCGAATGACGCACTTCGGGATACCAGCAAGCTCGATCGATGCACTAAAACCATTCTTCGTGTTACCGGAGGACTGTCTAGCGTCGCTTGTCGTGATCGGGTCGGAGACACAGAAGCTGTTTGCGGAAAATCGAGCATCGACGAGTCGTCACCCAGCAATGGCAGCAGATGGCGACGCTCGTTCTGCGTCCTCCGTGGACCGAAGACGGATACAAAAGCGTGATTCTCAGCTTCGACGGGTTATACACGACGCGAATGAAGGCATTGCGTCCCTCCGCTTGTTGTTGCAAGGCCTGCAATTCCTTCAGCTGTCGAGTCCAGTGTGCGTTCGTCTGGATTTGGGGCTGAGCCCGCGCCCCGAGCGCTATACGTCTGGATTCATATTTCAGGCAATCTTGCTTGAGGAAGCCGCACACGGAGGTGGCCATACTAGTCCAATGACTGCCTCGTCAATTGCTGCGACCACGGACAATCAGACAATCGTTGCTGAGGGTGGACGCTACGACGCTTTAGTGTCACGTTTCAAACTCACAACTGCTTACGCAAACGCCTCATCAGTTGCTGCGATGGGTGTCCGTTTCGCCATTGACAAGATTGTATCCCTGCTAGCTGAGTCAATGGGACCCGCATTGCTCGAGTTCAAATCGTCGATGTCAGAAGTCCTGACGGGTGGCTGCCGCATCCTGGTTTGTTCGGCAGGTAAGGCATCTGACACGATGTTGTTTCGCATGCAGATCGCGATGCTGTTGTGGGCACACGGCATTGGTGCAGAGTATCTGCACCCCGAGCCGCTACATCTCGAAGATCTGGAAGACTATTGCGCTCAACACGGTGTACACTGGATGGTGATTGTGCAAAAACACGTGATGAGAGAGAAGCAGCAGGTGAAAATTCGCACAGTGAAAAGTCATTCCGAGGCAGACGTGGTGACGAACGTGAGATCGTTGCCGGAGCTCGTCACGGAGCTTCAGGCAAACGTTGGCAAAAGCTCACATGGTGACACTGTGGCTGGCGGTGGTCGCGGAAACAGCCATTTGGGAGAAAGTTTGAGCAGTGGTCCTAGCGGTGGTGTCGGTAGTACCTTTTCACGGATTGGCAGCGTGATACAGCCTGTTTTTGATGTGAAGCTGGTTGACGCCAGATATCAATCGAAGGACAGGAACTACCGAAATTATCAGCTCGACACGCAGAAAGTTACGCGCCGCGTATCGAAATGGATCTCCTCCAGCTTCTCCGCTCGCGGGGACAAAGCCATGAAAATTTTGTCGGTCGATTTGCCATTTCCACTGATGCGGGAGATGTCGTCAGCATTGATGGAAGAGGGACACAGTGGCATTGACGCCATGTGTGCCAAGCATCCACGATATCGAAAGCAGCTCAAATTTACCATGGAAGAGGTCTTAGCTCTAACGCCCGAGTCCAAACAGTCGCGTCGTGAACGATATGTGCTTTTGCACAGCATTGTGGACGACCGGTACGACATGATGTCCCTTGGTTTGCCGCTAAGATCCGGCTGCAAGAACAGACTGTGAAGTGATTGACCGTCTTGTAGTGAGTTGAATCGTAACTCACGCAGTCGATACGCCAGGACCAAGAGCCGTAGCTGTGCTGATGTGTGGCCGTGCGCCCGCCTGTAGCGACAACTCTGATCTATACAGTTGTCATGTGCTGCTACAACGGCACATACGTCGGTGCAGCAAGCAGCTTTTCGGACGGTGCACATAACATCTGGCCAAGGCATGGATCGAGTGCTGCAACGATGACGTCCAGGGGTTGCATACCCGACCTCAATATTTATCCGGAGGAGCTGTTCTTCGCACTGCATGAGTCAGTATTGCCATCAAGAAAGAAGTTCCTATCCTCCTGCTAACTGACAGCAGACTTCAGGCGCTTTGGGCTTGCATCTTGTAATCTGGTTTGCGCGGAAATGTCAAGGAATGGAGTGCAGCATCGTCACAACATCGTTAGTGCATATCAGCGCTTCTGATGGCTACAAGAGGGCCCTTCGACCACTACATTATAGTCCGAGAGCCTCGACTGTTGTTACTGCGGAGGTGCCGAGCAAAAGTGTCTGGTGCTGATGAGCTGGTTAGCAAGACGCGATCATTCACGGGCTATCAAGTCTGTTAGTGAGGACTCATGCCGCTGTTTACGCGTTGAAGAACTCGCCCAGAGCGTTGGATGGGTATTGACAGCAAAGTCTAATCAAAGAAGTGGGCGTTGCTGTAGCCCATTGCCGAGAGCTATGTCGGGAAACAGAACCACATGGTGTTTGATTCCTGCATGTTCCTACCATCGTGGCACACTCCGTCGCTGGATTTGATGTCAGAGTTCAAATCGGTTTCATGTCCGGTCGACAATAATGAAACGGGTATTGCAATGTGCAAAGAGACGATGAATTTACCTGTCCTGTCTTCGTCCTGTGTACCCATCAAATCGAATAGTACCCATCAGCCCCCTAAGATTCGCATCTGCTCATGAAGAGCGCAGGTCCAGAGGCGAGCACGTCACAGGCTCTGGCCTTCGACCTCGACTTGCACGTCCAGTACCTCGTCGGTCTCAAGAACAAGAAGGAGGACTTTGAGTCGTGCATGACGGAGCACATGCGCGTCAGTGGCTTCTACTGGGGCGTGGGGGCCATGGCGCTACTCGATCGAGAGGACGAGATGCAGCCATCGGCGATCGTGGACTGGGTGCTCCAGTGCGAGCACCCGGACGGCGGCTTTGCCGGCAACGTCGGGCACGATCGACACCTCCTCTACACGCTGCACGCTCTGCTCGTGCTGGCAATGCTCGGAGCGCTGGACCGGATCCAGAGGGACAAGTGCGCGACGTTTGTCGCGTCTTTGCAACAAGGCGACGGCTCGTTTGCGGGCGACGAGTGGAAGGAACTCGACACCAAGTTCACGTACTGTGCGCTGTCGGCCCTCAAGATCTTGGACAAGTTGGACCTGGTGAACGTCGAGACGGCGGTGGCCTACGTCGACAGGTGCCGCAACTTTGACGGCGGGTTTGGCAACATGCCGGGCTGTGAGTCACATGGAGGACACATTTTTACGGCCGTGGGTGCACTGTCCATGGGGTTTGCGCTCGAGCAGTACGTGGACGACGAACTGCTGGGCTGGTGGCTCTGCGAGCGACAATGTGACTCGGGTGGGCTGAACGGGCGACCCGAGAAGCAGGCAGACGTGTGCTACAGCTGGTGGAACATTGCGTCGCTCATTATGATCGGTAAACTCGACTGGATCAGCAAAGAGAAACTCATTGCGTTCATTCTCGCATGTCAGGACCCTGAGGATGGAGGGATCGCCGACCGGCCAGGAAACGTAGCAGATGTGTTCCACACGTTCTTTGGTATTGCGGGCCTCTGCATGCTCGGCTACTTTGACCGCGAGAAAGAAACGCATCCGGAGTACGAACGTATCCGCCAGATCCACCCGACTTTTGCGATTCCCACGGATGTCGTCGAGAAGCTGCAGTTGACAGCGGGTATGATCGTGCCCAAGGTGCGTGCGGATTAAGTGCTTTATGGTCAGTCGACCTGCAATGAACGTACACAGTTATTACTTTTCTTTCGCGGTCGTCATTTCAGTCGCGAACCAAGTCGTCCAAGTGCGCTAGAACGACAACTGCGTCTACAAGTCCATGGGCGAAGCCTCCTCGACGACAATGTCAGCAGGGAACAGCTCTGTCTTGGAGCTCAGCACATCTACAGATAGCGCAAGAAAGAGCAGTCAGCACATTGGCAAGCAGCGACATAGCAGTGGTATCGATGAACGCACGAGTAGCTCCGCGCGGAATGTGCGTGACGATGTTCCGATTGATCTGCGAACGTAGCTCCGACACCTCATTCGGCTTGATACAGTTCAACTCCTTGACCACTTCCACCTTGTCATTGACTTTCTTGATCGTCGTCACGTCGACATTGCTGCCCGAGCCCAGGTCATTGAAAATGCCAGCCAAGATGGCTTCTTGCACCAACGTCTTTGCCTCGTCCTCCTATAACACACCCGGCACAAGTCCACATTCAGCACCTCACACCCCAACCACTGGCCTCAGCTACGACGATCTTACCGTCATGTCATCCTTGTAGCCGTGCTCGAACACCGACATGGCCGCTAAACTCCCCGAACCCATGGTCACAAACGGCAGTTTGTCCGTACTAATACCATCCAAACACAACCACCCACCCATCGACAAATTGAGCTCCAAGCAACGCTGACACACCAGTCTGGCGCTCGTACCTTCCATGCGGGTAAATCGTGTAGAGGTGCGGACCCGTGACGTCTACGCCGCCGAGAACCAGAGCAGCCGAGACGTGGCCCTGGTACTGGAACAACATGCGCTTCAACAGCGTCATGGCCGTCACCACGCGGGACTGCGTGCTCGTGTTCTGCGACACAATTGTCCACACATCACGACGTCAGCCACAGCGTTGCAAGCACGTTTGCCCTAGGACAGCATGACCACTAAACAATCGACCCGACCAGACGGTGCAGCTCCAGCTGCGACGAAATGAGCGCCGTCGTGTTTTCCGTATCGGCGGCTGTCCCGGCCCCACAGCAGTAAATGTTGGGTGCAATGTAGTGGATCTTCTCACAGTTCTTGTCCATGACGATCGAGCCGCCCGTCGAGCGCGTATCTGCGCCCAGCACGACCCCGTCCTGCGCCGTCCACGACCGACAAGTAAACACAGTAAGTACGACGGCTGGTTCAGTGTCACTGTCACGGGGGTATTTACAGACTCCATAGCAAAGCTGCGTGCCTTGTAGACGACGCCAACGATCGTCGTGCCGGTCTTCATGGCCTTGATTCGCTGCGTGCCACCCGCCTGGCTCAGCAGCAGCTCATTGCGACGGCAATTGTCGAAGCAGAACCCGCCGTGCAGCTGCTCTGCCGTCGGGAACGCGTCGCCGAACGTGTTCTGCGTGCGGCGGAAGTCGGTCATGACGAGTGTGTGCTTGTGCCTTGTCCAAGTGGGGGAAGGATCGGGCGGGTGAAGTAGTAGTAGTCGCCGGAGTGAGCGTAACCACAAGGGGTACGACGACGTCTTCGTTAAGTACGAGCGAGGGTACGAGTTTCGCATACCCGGTCGACCCCATGCCTAGCAATCCTGGAGCCGAAATGCCGACCGTCGATTGGGCAGAAAGGAATCGCGCGCATTACTGGCTGCCTGCGCACCGCGTCTTGACTACCAGTCATTTGGCCGCGCATAGTGAACGTAAGTGAGTTCCACCCCCCACGGCCGAGCACACGCTATCCCACCGTCAGAAGCAAAAGCATTCGCGAACCATGGTACGTGTTCCGTCCACGCGCGCGTGTGTGCCTACGCGACTGCTGCCACGCAGAGGCAATGGGCTGTAGCCGACACACGACCGACTGGCGGTCGATGTGGCCATCTCCGACGCCGTCGAGCCGCTGTTCCGTTCCCACTGCTTTTTCTGCGTGGGCACCGAAGCGCTGTGTTTGTGTAAAAAGCAGTCGTGCTAATGCTTGTGTTTGTCTGCTGGTTGTGGCTTTAGTCGCTTGTCATCAGTCCCGACTTCCAGCACATTCTGCGTATCCTCAACACCAACATCGATGGCCGTCGCAAGGTGTGGGTCGCGCTGACCGCGATCCAGGGCGTGGGTCGCCGATTCTCCATCATGGTGTGCAAGAAGGCTGAGGTGGACGTCACGAAGCGTGCGGGCGAGCTCACGAACGACGAGATTGAGCGCGTGGTTGCTATTATCCAGAACCCGCTGCAGTTCAAGATCCCCGTGTGGTTCCTTAACAGACAAAAGGACTTTAAGACGGGCAAGCATTCGCAGATTGTGGCCAACAACCTGCAGGGCAAGTGGCGCGAAGACTACGAGCGTCTCAAGAAGATTTACGCTCACCGTGGTCTCCGTCATTGGTGGGGCCTCAAGGTGCGCGGCCAGCACACGAAGACTACTGGTCGTCGTGGCCGTACGGTCGGCATCCTTGGTGGTGGCAAGTAAGGTGCTGCTGGGGATCGACTGCTTGTGCACGGGTTCCTTGTGGGACAGCCGACGATGCTGGCGATATCGACGTGGGTGAGCCTCGTTGCGGGATACCGCGCTGAGATCACTCGGGCGGAAACAACACGATGAACAACTTTTGCTGCTTCTGGAAACAACGATAGATTGGCTTTCATTGGTTTTCCAGCAGGTTCCTTCGTACACTGGTACACGCTGACGTCGCGAACCGATACTCTTGCGCCAGACTTGTAGGTCCTTTGAGCGTGTCTGGGCGCTTGGCCCAATCCAGATGAACGCTATGACGTTTGTCCGTGCATCCCCATCCAGCACAACGCTTTGGCGTAACACCGATGCAAACAAAGCACACAAGTCGGGTGTGTGATTCAGGAAGTCCACACCACCACACCACATCTAGTCGAAATGTCCTTCGTCGCAAAAAGCCCTCTACTGCATCTCTATGGGCAGACCCATTTTCTCGAAGCTATATACGAACCACAATCAACGAAGCAACAAAACAACATTAGAGCACGCAATGCGACATCACCGCTGCTCCAGTGTCAACGTACGCTTTCGCCTGCTGAGCATAGATCTGCTCTACCTGCTCCCGGAACTGCTCATTTTCGGTGTGGTGCTTCTGCAGAGCTGCCGTGAACACCTGAAATGCACATAGGACGATTCACAAAACCCGCGTCAATGCCAGCGACCTGGTCGAGGTCGTCGCAGAATATAGCGTACATCTTGGGAGATGCCGTGCAGCTTCATCTGCGCCTGCGTCATCTGCTCCACGTGCTCCATGTACAAGTGCTGAAACGCCTCCATCGCTCCCACGACATCGCTTATACCCTCAGCTCGCGCATGAGCGAGCATGTCCGACATTGCCTTTTCCATGCCGGCTACCATCACTTTCAGAATCGCCAACGTCCTGTCAGCAGTAAGGTCCTCGGGGACCTCCACAGGCGTTGATGCAGGAAACACACTGGCGTGGCACAAAAAGTCAGATCTCACGTGCAGCTATACCGTTCTGCATATGCAGCAACCTTTCTGCTTACGTTTGCATCAGTTTGTTCAATTCGCCTTGCAACCTCAAGACCTCTGCGTCCTGCGCAAACATCTCGAGCGCAGACTCCAGACTTGCAGGATTCAACTTGCGCTTCTCAACGACCTGCGTTTCGATCGCCTCCATCATTTGATACAGCTGTGATAGCACCGCCTGCTTGAATTCAGCGTCGCTCAGCTCATGACCGTTCTCTTTCATGTAAGCACGCAGTGCATCCTCAATCGCCGGCACTTTATTCTACCACAAACAACCAACCAACAACACACCGAAATGGACCGACACCGCATCGTAAGCACGCGGTCTTCCAGCTCTATCCAGCTGCGAGCAGCTGCCATCCAGCTGCACTGCGACAACCCACACACGTACAAACAGCTCCTTGACAGCCGCTGTGAGCTCCTCCAGAAAGAGCCCAAGCTCCTTCTGCGAGATCGTCTGCACCGCTTCGGGCTCTGAAGCGCCACGCAAAGACGACGCGTCCCACCACATCTTTCCGACGCCCACGAAGGCACCTACGATCGCAACGCCAGCCACAACACCCGTCGGGTCTGCTTTAATGTGCTGTGGCTGCGGTCTCGCGCGTCCTGCAGCATATGCACTGGCGGGAGCGACACTTGACGCGGTACTGGAGACAAAGGTAGAAGCAGCAGAGACAGTCGTGCGGTGGCTCGCAGCACATGTGGCCGAGTGACTGAACAGCTGCTGCACAGAGCGACGCACGAACTGGAGCACCATAAGGACAGCCGCACGACTGGCCGAGAGGCGGACGAGCGGGCGAGCAGCTGTGGTACACAAACGATACTTCACTTAGTGTGGAGAACACGAAGCGAATAGCGCCAATCGTGACGACCGACAGCCGAAACAGGAGCACGAGTGTCTTCTATCCCGCAGTGTGGTGACGACAATGCGTACATACATACGTCCACAGGCGAGTTCAGCGATGAGACTGACGAACTGATGACAGTGAATGGTCACGTAACATGGCAGATCACGGCGCTGTGCAGTGCGTGTTCATTGCTGACATGCTGCACAAGCGAGCCAATCCAGAGTCGATGGCTAGTGGAGCCACGCGCCGAGGCCATAGTCTTTGCTCGCGCGCTGCTACTGAGCATAGTGTGCACTGCTGAACGAAGAGGTGCGCGAACTAGCTCATGGCGAAAGACAACAGCTTCTGTGTATGTCTTTCTATCGTGGACTTTGCTCATGTATAGGCCAAACCAATGCTGGTCGTATGCTTCGCGGTCTGGCCACATTGGGTGCCTCGACGATGGAGACGACCTCCGTTTGTATCATCCTTCCTACAAGCAGGTCGAAACGCTTGTCGAGCTTGCGCGGGTCCAAAACGCTTGTCGTCCGGCCACCACATGAACGATTGAGATAGCACATCGTCCAACCAATTGGGGTGGGCAAGCACAGTTCACACAAGACAAACAAGAAAGTCAACATCCATGAGCTCGCTGCTAGAAATGCCATCACCACGCCTGCATTCCTCAGGCTGCGTTCCACGGGGTGCTTGGCCGCGACGCGTGACGCGGCTCAACGCAGTGGGTCGAGAACATTGATCCCCGTCTGCGGCGTTCTTGACGAGTGCACGTGCCGTCCTGCGTCTCTCACCTCTCATCAGGTCGCGACCGGGCAGTAAGTCAGCCAGACCGAACAGCAAAAAGCGGCGCGTCGGACACGTCGGGATCTCTGCGTCCCGACTGGCTTTCCGAGTCCAGCTGATCCTGGACCGTGTTCCACCTGGATCCGGCACGGTCTCGCACCGTAAGCTGGGCGCACCCTCCAAAAAGACCTTCGTTTGTACATGCTTCTCGTCCAACAAATGACAGCCGCTGAGTGCACGGGAACATCTTCCTAAATCTCGAGTCTGTTGTGTCTGCACCTGTTCATGTGGCTGGATCGGAGGTATCGATGCTGACGCGGTGGGCCACGCACTTCCGTCAGGCGTGCGATGTCGTGCGACTGAGCTTACTGTAGGGCCTGGGCAGTGCCCGTCCGAGCTTGTTTACTGACTCGACCACAAGACGTGCAGGTCTTTCTTTGTGTGCCGGCTGGCGTTCCCGTCAACTGATCCAATCACATCTGCTTCCAGAACAGCTTCTTGCAACACGCCTGAGCACGACCCGCCAAAAGAGATCCTGTACGTGTGCCAGAAAACGGTCACCAACGACGATCGTCAGAGAATGGACCAGCTCCAGTGTACCACGTGTTGGCAGTCTCGAGTGTGGAGAGCTTGCGAAAGTGAGGTGTCGCACGTACATAGAGCACACCCTGACTGCAACCATCGAAAGGGTCGGGGAAGAAAACCCACACCAGGTGATGGGAGGACCGTTTCCCATGATACGGCTCTGTGTCGCGGCCGGTAAGTACGCGAGCTCTTGTGTCCGTTCCCGCACAGTCACTTTGAGATTGCACTGCTCGTGCCGAGATCCGTCCAACCATGCGTGTCTTCACCCTCGCCCTTGTGGCTTCGTCCGCTCTCCTGCCACGCCCCGACGGCGTCTCGGAGGCTGCGGATCCTGCGCCGATGGAACACCAAGACCCTGCTGTCGCTGTCTTGGCCGCCGGTGGCGAGAACTCCCCTCCTAGCAGGGTCTTAAGGTCTCAAGGAACGATGGCGACGGAGAACTCGGAATCGATTGAATCGAGACCATTCTCTCCCGCGGAATGGATTTCCGAACTTGAGGAGAAATTTGAGAAAGCTTTCAAAGCGCTGCAAGAGCACCAGCCACCCAAGCGAATGCACGAAGTGTTGGAGATTCCCGACGTGGAAACGGTTGCCTATAGATTCGGCGACGACGCCATTCGAAAAGCACTTCGGAATGAGGACGACACTCAGAGGGCACTATTGCTTTACGAACTGCGGAGCAGCTATAATGAGTTTCACAAATCAGCTGGGAAAACGCTCTTAAAACTGCTGATGAACCTTTGGATCGCAGACGGTAAAACTCCGCTCGATGTGATGAAGCTACTCGGTCTGCATTTGCTGTCTGATTTGAGTTCGTTCACTAGTCAACATAAGCATGCCGTCGGCGTACTATGGGAATTTTGTGAGGCATCGGCCAAAGATCCGAAGCGAGGCGAGGCTGTTTACCGCGACACCGTCGAAACAGGTTACGGTGGTCGTGAAGGATTCGACCGTGCCGCCATGTCAACAGGCAAGCCGCAGGCTTTCTATCGACTTTTCCATTTGAACTAGTTGCAATGAGTTTCGAACACAACCTGTCCAAGTCCAAAGACGACAAGAGATTTCACACACTTACGACGCACTTTGCTGGTAACAAGGACGCCACATCAAAATCGAGAAGGCTGTAGACCAATGTCCCGGCGACGTGAACTTGTTGACGACGGCACGCTCGCCTAAACGTCTTGTGACCGACGCCCGTCATCTTCGAAACGACGACAGCACGAAGGAACGAGGCACGGACTCTACAGCACGAGGCACCAGGTAATTGTGAAGAGTCAACGACGCTTTCGTCACACTCCATCGTTGACCTGAGCACGGTGGTAGCGGCGCGGTGTTCAACTCGCATGGTAGCATCGAACGAATAACTCAGCTACCACAATACAGTTTGAATGAGATCGTTTGCTCGCGTACTATGTCTCTACTATGCCTCGCAACAAGTCATCTATCGCCAACAGCTCATGACGATCAACTTCATACTGGTGAACACTTCGCCAGTGGTTAGTTGGATGCTGAACCCCATCAGAGATGTGCCTCACTCAGCCACTTCTCCACAAAGACGTCACGACGTTCTCGCTCGTTGCGCTCCGATCGACCTTTTTTGGCGATCTGTTCCGACGCTGCAGCACCGTGGGAAGACGCATCACGATACCATGGCTGGTTTGCCACGTCAGCTGCAGCCCGCACCGACACGTTCGACGTCTCGTACTGGGGTGACCCGCATAAGTTGCTCTCCGCTACGATCGGGCCTTTCGAGATCTGGGTCGTCTTGCCAAGCAGCGCATTCAAGTTCGGACTCAGCATGTGCGTAGCTCCACGGCTCGTCAGTGACCTTTGCGGAGTTGCAGATGGCGACACACACGTTGTGGGACGCACGCGACGCCTGTTCCATCCCTCGAGCATGTGCTGCATCGGTCCAGCCAACGGCTTACCACCAATGCATCTATCGTGCCGCTCACAGTTGCGGCAAAGTATACGATGTGTCCGCCATGTCCCCGCGCTACGAAGCTGTGCAACTCAAAGCAGCTCACCACACAGCCGAGCGTCTGCTGACACACGAGCAGCGATTTGTCCGAGTCAGGGCCATCCAGAACAGAGCCAAACGCCACGATAGAGGTCTATTTCGACCATCGCTCGATACTCGCAGTGAGTTGCAGCACGAACGTCGCCGTGAGGTCCACACGGGCGTCGCCATCCACCGGACCACTAGCGTAAGTCACGTCTAGGCAGCGATCGAAAGGGCCCACGGACTCCCACACTGGCCGTATGTATCGGGGCACACCCTTGCGCAACTTAACGCAAGGGATTTGGGTGCCCCGACGGACGTACACGTGGCAAGCGAGGAAGCGTAGGTAGGGTAAAAGTAGAACTGTTATATTAATAGAATTAAGTCTTTAAACTACTGTCTCTTCGTTTGACTTAATTCAATTATACTAATATAACTGCATGTATGGTGACGTCTCGTCACCACTCATTGCGCGCGTCTTGCGGCGATTGGTGGGTTGATATCATCACGATATCAACCAATGAACAGACCCTTTGGTCGACACTTCAATATCACCACTTATGTGATATTGTTTAAAGAATAGCCATCTTTATATTCTTTATTGTCACTTTCCTTAAAGTGACAATTTCATGTAACGGGCTGCCCCGTTACATCACCCCCTCCTAACTGATAGTCACCGTGTGACTATCGAAAATATGGAGGCCACCCGTTGGCCACGATTGGGACAGGGAGCACTTGTTGGGTCCGTTCCATTCACTTTCCGCTTGACCTCGCATAGTTAACATGTCTATGCGAGGTGACTCAAGACCCACACAGTCTGGTGCTGTGCAAGCCTCTGCGGCAGACGCTTCGTCGTCTGCCGCCCCTTCTTCGCCTGCAGCAACAGGTGCTGCAGGTGCACGCGGTATCAGACCGCGTGCGCACGATGACCCTGATGTAGAGGTCATCTACTCTGGCGAGTCAGACGTGTCTGACTCGGGCAATGTTCCAGAGGCGTCTCGATCACTGGTGACGCCTCAGTATTCACCAAGGCTACTGCCAAACGACAGACTCGTGATTTGCATCACAGTCTGTTCGGCAGTGATGACGATGATCAGGGCGGTCGGGAATATTATTCCTTACCACCGCCGGCTCGTGCGTCTTCGCACGAGCGTGATGACGATGGTGTGAGCCGTCGTCAATCTGGGAGCCGTGGTACCGACAAGGGTACCACTGTGAAGCGTGATGAGTTGAAGCCGTGGCGTTTGCCCGAACAACTCATCAATAGCCTGTCTCACGAGACAGGCCAACACCATCGAATACCCTTATTCGATGCAACCGAGCTTCACGGCTTGAGTTCCAGCGCGAAGAACTTTCGCGCTGAAGAGGATTTTTATCTCGATGTCTTTCTTTGACATCGATGGTACAATAGCAACCAAAAGCGTGACAAAACATCGCTTTTGGCTGCGTGGCACGCGTTCGTCCAAAACGTAAAGAATTTTGGACGAGAAGGGTGGCTCAAGAAACTTGAGGCGACACATCTCAGGTTCGAACGGCGAACGCCAACCGGTGCTAGATACCGGTTGCATTGTTTATCGAGTGAGGCAGGCATTCCTTGCCTCACATGGGGAGACCCTTGTGCGAGTTGTGTTGACAACTCGCAACGTGCACATAGGGATGTGTACTCCCTAAATTCGCCCTGGGGAAGGGCACACATCTCGGCTGAGATGCGTGACGCGATTGCAAACTTGCAATCCGTCTACAAGCGCCTAGGGCGCGTGTTTACCGATGGGCCACAGGACTCATCGGATGGGTCTCGTCATACTGGCGGATGAGACCTTCAACATCCATCAACAGCTGAGATCGGGGCTCCCAGCTGTTCCGAGAGGGTGGATACCCCCGCCAGTGGACGAGGTAGCTCGTCCTTGATCCTGAATCGTCACGGTGATTCAAGATACGCTCCACTAGAAAGCGTTGATCACCTTGAGCATCCACCAAAGGATGTGGTGGAGGAGGAAAGACCTCCTCCAGATGATTCGGTTCACCATCTCGACCCTTACGAGATGGATCGCGCAATCGATGAATTGCGCGATGACTTGAAGCACGAGCGCGACCGGCGCTACGCTTTAACCGATACCGTGCGGAAGAACCGCAAGGGTCACGAGGCTGATCGGGCGAGGGATCGCGCCGATTATGCCACGGCGCAGCTTCAGGTCGAGCGGGATGTCCGCTCCCTATTCGGCGAGCTGGCGACAGCTCGCGGGGAGATATCTCGGTTGAATACCGAGGTATCATATCTGCGCGACCAGACGGATCGTCTGGAGCGCGAACGCAAGAACTTGATGGATGTTCTTGAACGTGGGGGCTATCTTCATCGGAAGAAGAAGGCTCGTACTGACAGTACGACCTAAGCCTCCCCACGTAAAACGTAGGATGCGTGCGCATCCCACGTGGCAATTCGAGTGTGTATGCATTGCTCTTGCGATGCAACACTCGAAATGGCCCAATGTATTTCGGCAGTAGTTTACTACTGCCGACACTAGTGACTGCATGTCCAGGTAAGTTTACCGTAGACAGTAGTACTAGGTCGTTAACCTTAAATGAAAGAACATTCGCTCTTCCATTCTTGTCTGCGTTCCGTTTCTGACGGTCCACCGCATTTGCGATGGAGTCCTATACGAAACGGACTACCGCCTCTCGAGTCAGCAGGAGGTTCTCTGCTGACTCTCTGTTGTGTCTTTCAGTGAGCTTCTTGCACCCTGCTAAGAGATTCATTTCTTCTTCAGCGAGGTTGTCCTCCTTCTCACTGACACAATCGTTGATGATGCTGAATCTGCCAGCATCTTCATCACTGTATTGTAAAGCAGCAGCGTCAACGCTACTGCTAATCTTGTCTTCTTCGATGTCGATATTGTCGACATCGTCATCAAACGTATCGGTGTGCGCGGTGATGCGTGATGATGAAGATTCAAAACGGTTTTAGCTCGAGCGAGTCCCTCCCTCCTTGACCCACAGTCACCCTGTATCAGCGCGGGAACAAGTAATTGGCGTAAGATATTACGTAGAAGGTGTATGCGTCGTGGACGCATGCACGGAGTTGTTGATGGCGAATTTGACCATCAGCAAGAACTTACTACATTTCAAAGTAGTGAACGTACCCTCGAAGTATTTCTTCGAGGACACGGTTTGCACGTTCTGTCTGACCATCCGTTTCGAAATGGTCAGAGGTGGACATCTTCAACCGTTTTCCGAGAGAACGGGACACGGGTTGCCAAAACTTCGCCGTGAACCGAGGATCACGGTCGGATACGAGTTCACGACGTAACCCGTGGAGTCGAAACACTGTGTCGATGAATACACGCGAACATCCGTGTGAAGTGATCGACTCAGGAACCGCAGCAAGATTTACCATCTTGCTGAAACGATTTACAAACACAAGAACACCATTATGCTTGTGAGTGTCTTCAGGGAACCCGAAGCCAAAGCTCATGAAAACGAACTCAGAACACTCTGCCGGGACCGGCAGAGGTGCAATGGTGCACGGTATGAAGGTCCAGGCTTCACCCGCTGACAGACCTCGCAAGAAAAAAAGTACTTGCGTACAAACTGATACTGGTGGAGCCACTCGAAGTCATGACTGACCGTGAGGTAAGTCTTCTCGCGTCCACAATACCCAGCTGTTGGCGCGTCGTGACATTCGAACATGATGCGCAAGCGCAAATCATCATTATCGAGTGCGACAACACGAGGCGTGTCGTCTGCAACTGATGTGTAGTACAGCAACCCGTTGTAAATCGTATATCGATTCAATAAGGAACGGTATGAAGCCGGTAAATCTGACAAGGATTTCCAGGATGGATTTGCAAGGTGATCCATCAAGCGTAGGGTATCCTTATCTCCTACGTATTGCTTCCGCACGTCGGCGAGTAACTTCGATGTCTGTACACGAACTGAGAGCGCCGCAACAGTAGGCAATATCTCACTGTTGACGTGTGTAGTCGGCTCTAAACCGGGCCGACGTGATAGCGCATCAGCGACGACATTGAGTCGTCCTGGTTTATACTCCACAGAGAAGTTATACTCCGCGAAGAAAGACAGCCACCTCGCCATCCTTTGCGAGAGGTGTGGGCTGTTTACGGCCGTGCGTAATGACGCATGGTCCGTGTAGACAACAAACGGTCTATCTCCCAAGAGATAGACGCGAAACTTAGCCAGTGCATCCTTCATGGCAAGGAGTTCCTTGTCATGCACTGGGTAATTACGCTCAGCTGCTTGCAGCTTACGCGACTGATAACAGATGACGCGCTCCGCGCCATCTGCATCGAACTGCATTAACGCACAGCCGATTGCAAAATCGCTGGCGTCTCAGACCACATGAAATGGTCTGTCCTGATCTGCAATCGCCAAGATCGGCGATTGCATCAATCTTTGCTTGATACCCTCAACGGAACGCTGACAGTCAGCATTCTATGACCCCTTGACATTATTCTTGAGCAGACAAGAAAGATGAACAGTCATCTCGGCGTAGTTGCGCGAGTACTTGTGCAAGTATGCCGCAAGACCAAGGAACTTCCTTAGTCCCTTGACATCGACTGGCCCGTGCCAGTCGATGATTGCCTTGATAGTTTCGAAATCAGTGCCTACGCCGTGTTTACCCACGATGCACCCAAGAAGCGGTATTTTGCTAGCCGCAAATACACACTTTTTGAGGTTGGCGTACAACTTATGCTTGCCCATAAGTTGAACTACCTGACGAACGTGTGCTCTGTGGACTTCAACGTCCGTCTTTCCGTCCATAGCCCGGGTATGAACGAACACATCGTCAAAGTAACTCGGCGCTAAATCCCGCACTGGTGTCAACCAGAGTTACACATCTGCTAAATGTTGAAGGGGCAATACTCAGCCCTTCTAGCCTCACTAGCCACTCCCGCAGCATCCCGCTGGGGGTGCTCACTGATGTGTACGGGATGTCCCGTTTCCACATGAGGATCTGATATAAGCCATCTATCCGATCCATGAACGAGAAGATGATACTCTTTGACATACCATCAATGATCACGTCCTTTCTTGGTATCGGCGTCTAAGCCGGTACCGTTGCAGTATTCAACTTGTTGAATGCGTGCACTATCCGCCACCCTCCTGTGGCCTTTCGCACACAGAAGGTCGGAGAGCTGTGAGGGGATGTTGATTCCCTCACATGGCCCGCTGCCAAGCGATCGGTAAAGAACTTGTCGATCGCTAGTACTTTTTCACGAGGCAGTGGCCACTGCTTCATGACACAGTATTTCGAGCCCGGTTTGAGCTCGATCTCGTGTCGAGTGCCTTTGTCCTTAGGCAACTCGCAAGGTACGGATTCAGGGAACACATCCCTGAATTCGATCAAATCCTTATACAAAGGATTTGCCTGAAGTGACTCCCAGGATTGGGAAGCGTATCGGCTAATCCGAGTCTTCTCATCGCGGACACTTTCGTCCATCGATGAGCTGCTGAGAACCCGTTCGTTCTCAGCAAATACTGTTGCCGACCGAATGTCAGTCACATACTCATCCTCTGTGACGAGTATGCAGATCTGCTTGACTTTGCCACTACGCAGATCACGCCAGAACCGTTTCGGTTCTAGCGTTGGCAACTGAGTTATCTCCGAAGTCAACTTCGGAGGCACAATCAGATCAAGCGTATAAGCGCCTACGCTTGATCCGTCATTAACCAAGACGTTCAACGTCTCGGTTTCTTCCTGGGAACTTTCTTCCACAGGTTGCTGAGGGCCTAATCCCTCAGCAAGCGACTCTTGAGGAATTCCTTCCTCAAGTACGTGGGGACTTATTCCCTCGACGTCTTCCGACTGTGGCTGTGCAACCACAGTCAGGAACCGATCCTCTACGGTCGACTCTCCAGTCGACCTAGGATTTTCATGTTGCCCCTTGGGGGCAACAGGTTTCTTTCTTCAAAGATGCTGCCCGCTAGGCATGCATCCATGTCCCGGTCCACTCGACTTATTCGAGTGGTGGACCTTCGGCGCAGCCTGTACATCTGTACAGCCGCCGGGAGCTTGCTCCACAGTGTAGTGATCAACTACACTATGATCTTGTGCAGTCGTGCTAACGACCGTACCGCAAGTGAGGCCATCGCACTCACTCGCAGAACATCCACACGCTTGTGGACGCTCCAAGATGTTCATCAGATGGCCATCTGATGAACAAACAGCAGGCATCTTCACGGATCGATGCTGCCAGCTCACCCTTGGCTCGTATTTTCTGAGCCAAGGTAATCCCAGGATGACATCGAATTTGTCATCCAGATCTAGTACGATGAAGTCATCATCGTACTGTTCGCCCTCTAACGTGTAGTGGATTCCTACTACACGTTTATCAACGGTAATCGATGCGCCTGTGGCAAGGCGCACCGTCATCCTTGTGAGGGGAATGTCGCGCTCAACGAACTTGAGCCTACGACCCTCTAGTGACTGGCGACGAACAAAGTTGTTCGACGCCCCACAGTCTACTAGGTCACGAAGCGACAAATCATTTGTCGCTTCCAACTTCAAGGTGATGAGCGAAACGTCATCACCAGGTGCAGAGACACACAATGATTGTGTTTCTGGAGCAACTTTCGTCAAGAGATTTGCGAATTCTCTTGAGGTTGCTGGATCAGTAGGGCGCTCCGCCCCTACTGACCCCGACCATTTTTTGATGGTCCGTCTCGCTGTTGCGGCTTCGCAACAGCGCTGGACCCACACCCATTGTCTTTTCTGTCAAATGGTCGTCCATTTCGCTCAGTACTGTTTGGTACTGGGCGTGGAGCACTACACTCGTATGCGTAGTGCCCTAACTTCTGACAGCGATTGCACCTCTGCAATCGCTTGTTGTTTGAAGAGCGAGGTCTTTCGCTCTCAACATAGCAGAGGTCCATTGGTTCTGGACCTCCGATCTCTTGTCGTCTCGGTGAACGATAAGAGTTTGAGCTAGCATGAGCCTGTCTCATGCTAAAGTCTTCCTGTTCCGCGGCTGATATCGCATCTTCCAGCGTATTCAGCTCAAGGCGGAACAGATGGCTCCTGACGGGCCCTTCTGCGAGCCCTTGCATGAACACCGTAATCAACGTGTGTTCATGAACTGGGTTGGCAGTTATACTACTCGCAAGGAGTCGTATATGTTGTGCGTAAGCGTGCACATCACGCTTACCCTGCTTGAGTTTCAAGAGCTCTGAACGAGCCCTGAACTCAGCCCGTGGCGGCTCAAACGTTTGTCTGAGCCGGGACTTGAAGTCCTCTAGCGACCCAAACACATGTGGGTCGCTACTCTCGAGCCCCAGGGACCAAGTTTTGGCACGCCCTGCCATGTGGGTCTGAGCAAATGTGAGTTTCATTTGCTCATCTTCGACGCATCGAGCCCTAAGGGCTCGGTCGAGTTCGACAAACCATAGTAACAGGGAGTCCTCCGGGACCCCACTGTACTTGGAGGTGTCAACTTTCATGACTTCGGGACGACGCGCATGCGCCGTCCCGCCCACAGCAGCATGGAATTGCTGCTGTCTCAACAGCTCCGTCTGTTGAGCACCGAGTTCTCTCAACTGCTCGGCCTGTTGAGAGCCTTGCTGGTGAAGCAAGGCTACTTTCTCCCTCTCGAGAGCAAGTTCATTCTGAATGAACTTGGCAATAGCGGCATGTTGTTGGTCTCTGTCTAGAGACTTCAACATGGCGCTAATAACGAACTCGCCTACGGTAGAACTCATTCGTTCTACCGCACCCCATTCGATGTCACTCAAATGGTTAAACCCTTCACGCGTGGCGTGAAAGGTGTCTTCTTCATCCAACATGTTCATGTTGGATGATGTGGTCCTTGGAAGGACTACAAAGTGCTACCAGGTGTAACGGGGCACACCCTTGCGTAACTTAACGCAAGGGATTTGGGTGCCCCGACGGACGTACACGTGGCAAGCGAGGAAGCGTAGGTAGGGTAAAAGTAGAACTGTTATATTAATAGAATTAAGTCTTTAAACTACTGTCTCTTCGTTTGACTTAATTCAATTATACTAATATAACTGCATGTATGGTGACGTCTCGTCACCACTCATTGCGCGCGTCTTGCGGCGATTGGTGGGTTGATATCATCACGATATCAACCAATGAACAGACCCTTTGGTCGACACTTCAATATCACCACTTATGTGATATTGTTTAAAGAATATCCATCTTTATATTCTTTATTGTCACTTTCCTTAATGTGACAATTTCATGTAACGGGCTGCCCCGTTACACCGTAAGCGAGACGAGCCTGCCACCGCAGCTGCACGACCAGCAGTCCAGCAACTGCGCGCTCGCCCCGTCCTGGTTGCTCGATATGCCTTTGACGAACAACTTGCACAGAGTCCTCGTGCACGTGCTCAACGACCGTAGCACAGTGCCAAGAGCTCGTTCACCGCCCTGCGTCGCATGCTTCTGACCTGGTCCTCTGTCGCACGGAAGCGACGTCCGACGACTTGAATCAACGAGTGATCCGCCTGTCGCATGCCGTCACGCCAGGGACTTCTTATGTGGCGCCTCGTCTGGACATGAACAAATTCCCATTGCAACGTCGGACAAGCAAACTGAGATTGTAACGGGATGAGTCCGTTCCATGTACTTGCCACCAGATTGGGTCAAGCAGAGTATGACCGTAATTGATGCGATTCACCGATATGTACCTTACTTAGTTTATTCTGACGGAATATTACCTTTGAAGCTACAGTATAACCTGTCTAAAGTAATATCGTTGGAGTCGAGGTCATGGTATTAACCTTACGAAGATTATTGCTTTAGGCAGGGACATAAAATTCAAGGATTTTTCTCAAGTGGGAAAAATGGTACAATCGGCTTTGTTTACATATTATTTCTTGCTGCAGCCGCCACCCCTAGTCAACCGCCCCACCTATATAAAGGGAAGTCCCCGCCGACCCCTCAAGTTTTCTCCCTCCAATATGCCTACGAAAGGCGCACAGTACACGACAATAACGGACAAGGTCTGCATTGCTTTGTCTGAGCACCATGATAAGAATTCTCAGCCCAGCCAGAAGGAGCTCATTGAGTGGCTTGAACGGAGGCACATGGTGAAATTCAGTCAGCCTACAATCTCAGGTCTTCTCAAGAGCAAAGCGACAATCTTAGCGAAGGCCGACAACAGCAATTTTGACGCGAACGTCAAAGGACTGTCAAGTATCCTCAGATGGAATTTGCTCTCGTCGAGTAGTTCCTTAGCCATTAGTATCGCGTCAACGTGAGCGGGGATCTTATCAAAAAGAAAGCAGCCCTTTTCTTGACCACCTCTACCCTGAGAATGATATGTTCGAGTTCTCGAATGGATGGCTGGAATCATTTAAAGACCAGCATGGAATCAAGTTCTTTCGCCGTTTTGGAGAGAGTCGTTCTGTTGACATGACACTCATCGAGGAATCACTCCCTGGCATCCAGGAGACGCTGGACAAGTACAAGCGGAAAGATATTTACAACATGGATGAAACTGAGCTATTCTACCGGCTGCAGGTTTGTTTTGGCAAGTGGTCTTGTCTGCAACATTTTGTGACACTTTGTGCTTACGTAAAATCATTCACAGGCAGATAATTCGCTGGCAACCAAGCAACTGAAAGACCGCAAACAGAACAAAGAGCGTATCACCTTGGCAGTGTGCTGCAATGGCAACAGAAGTGACAAGCTACCGCACTTCGTCATAGGAAAGTTGGATCGTCCGCGTTGTCTCAAAAATATCAACCTTGACACCATCGGCTGCAAGTACCGAAACAACAGTAAAGCATGGATGACACAAGCCATATTCAACGAGTGGCTAAAATCATTTGATTCTCGCATGGCCGGACGCTAAGTTCTTCTAATCATGGGTAACTGTAGTGCGCATATACCGCTTGCCCATCTTCCTACATTTATTCAGTTGTGCAATACCACGTTTTTTAACCTTCCACTAAATACGACTTCGAAACTCCAGCCGTGCGACGCAGGCATAATCAGAATTCGAAGGCCTATCATCGCATGCGCTTTAATCGCTTGCTCATTCAGCGCCTCGAGAATTGTGTGGAAGATCCGGAGAGGATTGATGTTCTTCAGGCCATTCGGATGGTGGTTGCAGCTTGGAACTTAGATGTCAAGGCCGAAACAATTTCGAATTGCTTCTTTCATTGCAAGATTCGCTTGTTTGCTTTTGAAATCCCTGAACTTACTGCACAGTAGCTGGACGACAATGAGGTCATCGAAGGTCTTCAATTGCAAAATCGTCAGTTGCGGTACTAGAATCCAATGGACATCCGAGTCCTTCTCAATTTCCCTGCTGTAGAGGAGATCGCCTACACACCAGATAAAGGTGAAACCATTGCTGAGCACCTTCGATCTGATCAAGTGGAATAACAGGAAGATGACACGGAAGAGCTTCCTCGTGTCATGTCATCTCAGGCACTCGATGCCACGCAGAAGCTTGAATACTTTTAGTTGCAGCAGCCAGACCTGAACCAGGACTTCCTTATAAGCCCTAGAAAAATAAAGGACAAAATTGATAAGATCAGGATTAACCAACTGATGCAGAAGCCCATCTTAGAATTCTTTCCCAAGTCCCATTAACTGCTTTGCACTCAATTTCAAAGTTTTAATATAGTGAGTATTACTATAAAAGCTTTGGGACCAGCCTTTAGCTACCAAATATCACTTTAGGGAGGTTTATTCAATTCAATATGGGTCCGAAGTCGGGACCAGAAAAGAATATTACCTTGAGCAGGTTATTACATTCGGGAGTTTTAATTTAGACAGGTTCTACTGTAATAGGCAGAAACGCTCCGTGGTGGAGTTGGTTGCGATAGGCCATTTTATCAACTAAAGATTCATTCGTTGGAACGGGGTTTCACGTTGGTTGGTAGCCGCCATAAAAGAAGTAATTCACACCAAGGATGAGATTCCATCGTAAATGATATATGAGCACCTCATCAGTTGTTAGGGGCTGACGTGTGTTAGCCGTCAAATTTAAGATCTTTTAAAAGGTACAAATTCGAGCATTAGTGTATATATTAGATTCGATTAGTATAAAGTGTCCTTTTAAAGTTCAGTTCGCCAATTGATCGATTATAAATACGTGTTTTCTTAAGGCGTCTTTCAGCGTACAAGAGTAAATTCTTGCTCGGACATAGACTCCTCAGCACCTGTGCAGTCGTTACCCTGCTCGTTAAGGTCCCTTAAACAAGATGTAGCGGAGATACACAGCTCCTTAAGTCAGAGGAAGACTTAACGCTCAACGAGAAACTTTGGTTCTACGAACCCTACTCAAAGAGTCAACAGCTTCGATAACTAATCTTCGGTTAAAGGAATCCGCCTCAAAGAGTTAACAAGCTCAGAGAGCTTACGGTCCCTGTTCCAGGGGGACCAAACGATTCAAAGAATCAAACGTACTAAGTGCACAAGGAGTAGCTGCCTTAACAAGGCGTTGCTACTTCCTTACGATCGCAAGACGCTTCAGAGAGGCACGTATATTTTGTTGATCAAATGGGAACTGAACTTATTTCTTTTTAACCTAAAAGAACACCTTAGAACAAAGTGATTGACCTACTCACTAATGTCCTAGAAAACCTTTTAGAAGATCTTGTAAGCAATGGTTGACAGACATCAGTCTTCAACAATTGATACTTGTGTTCTAATATTTCTTTAAAGGGGATCCCATCCCTTGTGTGTACCACACCTATTGTCGACTACCAGTCGACGTGTAACCCCGATGCACCCTCCCCCACCATACTGATGCTTCCATAAATCGTCAATCGAATTATTTCCTCGAAGAGGACGGTGTGTGTGCGCTTTAACCTTACGGTTGGCAAAACACAAAACACCATGGCATCACCACCCCATGAATCCTCGACTCTCTCGTCCTACCTCGGCATCGATGTGAAGGTGGATTATGGTAGCGATACCGATATCTACGGTGAAGAGAAGACAATGTCCGACTCGCCTGTGCAAGAGGCAGCGCCTCATATTACACCAAACCCATTTTCCGAGCGTGGCGAAGCCAACGCGCCATCGGCGCCGCATCAAACACTTATCTTGGGCGATGCCATCATCACTAATCCGCTCGATGAGCAACAACAGTTGGCTATCCAACGAGAGGAGAGCGCTCAGCGCCGTATGCAGCTTGCTGCAACCCTTGAGGGTCGTCGTGGCTATCTGTTCACACCACTCAATGTGGAAGAGCGTATACGCTAAACGACAGGTCGTTCTTTGGCAACGTGGGCCATTGGCGCTGAGCTAACATCTTTTGATGAGGTGGCGTGTCGACAGGCACTTCGTGAGAGGTACATGCAACCTCACTTGACGACTCAAAGTCAATACAAGTTGCGACTTGACACGCAAGCACGGGGTGCGCCGGTTGCACCGATGAAAGGTATCCCATCCTCTTATTCGCAGGCGAATCTGAGGAGGAAGAAGGCAACGCTTTTGTTCGCTGGGCGCATCGGAAACGAAACCTTAGCAGCGTGTTAGCTCTCAGACCAAGTGCCGATGTGTCAGGTGTTCGCCTGGAACGAAAGCTTCGGTATAATTACGCCAAGTTTAAGGCCAGAGGCCAGTTGCGAACTCGCACACGTTATGGTCCGGCTCCGCCGATTGATGTGGGTGTTGGTCAAGCGGTACCCAACTACCCACCTGCCTCTACCACTATTGGTGAGAAGCGCGCTCGGTCGAGGGATGACCCCTGCCACGATGTTCAAAAAATCAACGGCGTATGGGCAATCCTGCCGAAGAGGTGTCACAAACTCCCACGAGTTCTCCGACTCCGGGTACCCTCGCCACTTCACCAGATACT